CATTCATCTGGGACGACGCCTGTCAAAAAGCATTTGAAGATATTAAAACATATCTAACAAATCCTCCTGTTCTCGTTGCACCAAAATCAGGTAAACCGTTCTTGATTTACATCAAGGCGATGAACCATTCGATCAGTGCTTTGTTAGCACAAGATGATGACAATGGTCACGAACAGGCAGTTTATTATTTAAGTCGGACTTTGGTGGGCGCTGAGTCCCGATATCCGATGATCGAGAAAGAATGTCTCGCATTGGTATTCGCAGTGCAAAAGATGCGGCATTACTTAGTGGGACAGACGATTTACGTAATCTCCGGCGTTAATCCCGTGCGAGTATTTATGACACAACCGGGTTCGATGAACTGGCGTTTGGCAAAATGGGCCCTCCTCCTATCCCAGTACGATTTGCACTTCAAACAGCAGAAGTCGGTCAAGGGACAAGCAATTTGTGATCTTTTGGCGGCAAGCCCGACCACAGATACGGCGGAAGTATATGATGACTTGCCGGATGAAACCCACGAGGTTAATACTACATCGTCGCATCAACAAATATGGCAACTATATTTCGATGGTGCTTCAAGAGAGGTTAATAGGGTAATAACCCCCGGATGTTCTACAGTCTCCTCCGGAGTTGGAGTCGTCCTAGTTTCTCCGGGAAAGCATGTAATACCTCGAGCCTATTCGCTAACGGGTCCATGTTCCAACAATGTGGCCGAGTACAACGCGCTTCTCATTGGACTCAGTTTCGCCAAAGAGCTGGGGGTCGAATATCTTGAAGCTTTCGGAGATTCGCAGCTAATAGTCAACCAAGTCCGTGGAGAGTATGAAGTCAGGAACCAAGACCTGATACCGTATCACCAGGAGGCCATCAAAATGGCGGAATCCTTTGAGGAATTCTTCATTGAATACATCCCTCGCCTCCAGAACGCTTATGCAGATGCACTGGCGGCACTAGCAGTGTCCCTCGCACGACCGCCTGAAACAGAGTTGCTAGTCACAGTAAGATCGCATCAACTCTTCGTACCCCTATACAATATGGGTACCGATGAAGAAGAAGATGATAGGGGCCCAAACACCAAGGAGGTGAACTCAACTCAAATCGGGTCTGAGTCCCGAGATTGGCGCTTTCCTATCATTGACTACGTCCAATATGGCATCTTGCCGGAGGATGTAAAAGAAAAAGAATCTATTCGCCGAAGAGCACCACGGTTCTTTTACAATATCGAGACCCGTACGTTATACCGCCGGGGGTATGACGATTTGCTCCTCCGATGCCTTTCGAACGAAGAAGCAAAAGAAGTGCTTAAGGAAGCGCACGAAGGAGAATGCGGTGCGCATCAGCCTGGTCCCAAGCTATATGATCGAATCAGAAGAATGGGATATTATTGGCCAACAATGGTACGTGACGCAATCGAATATGCACGAGAATGTCACGCCTGTCAAGTGCATGCAAATTATATGCACCAACCGCCAGAACGATTACACACATCAACTACATCCTGGCCATTCGAGACTTGGGGTATGGACATTGTCGGTCCAATTTTTCCCCCTTCAGTCAAAGGTGATCGGTTTATTCTCGCTATCACTGACTACTTTTCAAAGTGGGCTGAGGCGATTCCGCTTAAGGAAGTGAAGACGAATAACGTCATCAACTTCATCAAGCATCATGTCATATACCGACACGGCGTGCCGAGACGGATCATCCACGATAACGGTCCACAGTTCATAAGCAACGCTTTCATCAGGTTTTGTGATAAATTCAAGATCGAGGATGTATCATCAACAGCGTATTATCCAGCTGCAAACGGATTAGCTGAAGCTTTCAATAAGACGATCATTAAGATCCTGTCTAAGCTCGTGAAGACCAACAAACGAGACTGGGACGATAAACTTGGGGAGGCACTCTGGGCTTATCGCACCACCATACGCACTCCTACGGGAGCTACTCCGTACTCGTTAGTATATGGATGCGAAGCGGTGCTACCTTTGGAAATTCAAATTCCCTCCCTTCGGATCGCTCTCGCAACGGAGATGACGACCGAAGAACAACATCAGAAGCGTCTCGAAGAGCTCGAGAGGCTGGATGAAAAGCGCTTGGAAGCTCAACAACACATCGAGTTCTACCAGGCTAGGATGTCCAGGGCTTTTGACAAAAGAGTCCGCCGAAGAAGCTTCAAGGAAGGAGATTTGGTCCTCGCTGCTCGTCGACCAATAATCCTCACCTCCAAGATGAAAGGTAAATTTGAACCTAAGTGGGAAGGACCGTTTGTAATAGACACAGTCTATTCAAACGGCGCTTACCGTCTGATTTCCCTAGAGGGCGCCAGGCAATTAATGCCAATAAATGGGAAGTTCCTGAAAAAGTACTATCCCTAGTACATTCAGGATAACCCATTTACCGGGAAGTTCCTCGGAGAATATTACACTCAATATTCTAGAGGATAACCCAAAATCATTGTCTCCACCAAAATCCCTCACTGATCAGTTCCAATTGACAGTGGGTCCACAAAAAATGTCCATATGACCTTCTTGACTCTTTCCATAGACAAGAAGGTCCCCTTTCAGATCGGATTCTCCTTTCGATAAACGAAAGAACTCCTTTCTTTTCTCTTTGGTCAAGCCTTCCCATGGTTATAGCCAAAGTTGAAATTCCACTTCGATAAACGAAGAACCCATTTTCAGTTTAGATAACTCATCCTATAAAAGGCAAGTTTATCTAAATTTTCCAGATTCTCGGAGTGGACACCCCACTTCTAGTTTCTTCCTCGCTGGAAATAGAATATAAAATTCTTCCTTTCCAGGATCAGGGAATAGAATATAAAATTCTTCCTTCCTTGTTTTCGGGTTCGCCTTCACCCTAAAAGAAGACCGGGAAATAGAATATAAAATTCTGCCTTTCCCGCATCGATCTTTTCCGAAATTTATCAATTTAGGATTCATCCTAGGAAGTTTATCCCGAATCCTAAGCAGGGATAAGTCTGCGCCTGACACGCGCTGCCGGTTAGTTCTTAACCGTTTAAAAAGAACACCCGTTCACATATTCGACATTGTGACAGGTTGTTATTAATAACACCAGAATCCATGCCTTACACGCATGGGGAATTTCATCCCGAATCCTAAGAAAGGATATGCCGATGCCTAACACGCATCGTCGGTTTAGTCTTTTTCCGTAGAAAAAGACACCAGAGTTCGATTCTGGGGTATTCTATCCTGAAACCTAAGCAAGGATAAGTCTGCGCTTAACCCGCGCTGCCGGTTAGTTCTTAACCGTTGAAAAGAACACTCGCCCGCATATTCAACATTGCGGCAGGCTGTTATTAATAACACCAAAATCCATGCCTTACACGCATGGGGAATTTCATCCTGAATCCTAAGAAAGGATATGCCGACGCCTAACACGCGTCGCCGGTTTAGTCTTTTTCCGAACAAAAAGACACCAGAGTCCGATTCTGGGGTATTTTATCCCGAAGCCTAAGTAGGGATAAAGTCAACACCTAACACGTGTTGCCGGGTAGCCTATTCCCGTAACAATGGCGAAGTCTATGTATTCGACATCATAGCACGAAGTCTAAGGGAGTTCATTCCCTTAGCACAACGTTACATGCGGAACGGATTCCGATAATCCGCATGCTAGCCCGACTCAAACGGTAGTCGGTAAAGGCTAATCAAACCCGTTGAAGGCTGGGGGTTAGCCAAAAATCCTAAAGTCAACACCTAACACGTGTCGCCGGGTAGCCTATTCCCGTAACAATGGCGAAGTCTATGTATTCGACATCATAGCACGAAGTCTAAGGGAGTTCATTCCCTTAGCACAACGTTACATGCGGAACGGATTCCGATAATCCGCATGCTAGCCCGACTCAAACGGTAGTCGGTAAAGGCTAATCAAATCCGTTGAAGGCTGGGGGTTAGCCAAAAATCCTAAAGTCAACACCTAACACGTGTCGCCGGGTAGCCTATTCCCGTAACAATGGCGAAGTCTATGTATTCGACATCATAGCACAAAGTCTCGGAGAATTCAATCTCCGAGCATAACGTTACATGCGAACGGATTTAAACAATCCGCATGCTAGCCCGACTCAAACGGTAGTCGGTAAAGGCTCATCAAACCCGTTGATGGCTGAGGGTTTGCCAAAAATCCTATGAGTATTGTGGTCAATCATTTCAAATGGAATGACGAATCATAATAAAGACGAAAGCAAGTTTCACTAAGAGAATCAAAAGTCAAAGTGTTCAGCAAACAAAATCATACATCAAGACCATGACCAAAAATCTGCTGACTGATCTTAGAAAGCTTCTCATCATAAGCTTGCCTAAGTTCAGCCCTGATGGACTCCTCGGTGGTGGCTGAAGTCCTCGCAGCGATCTCTTCTGTCTCGGCTAGCTTCTGCTCCAGGGATCTCAACTCATCAGATAAAGCAGTGTGGGTTTGCTGATCCTGTGCTTTCGTCATCTGAAGAATATCCAAAGTCTCCTCTTTTTCACGGAGTGTTCTTCTGAGCTGGTCTATCTCGGTCGCACAAGAGGTAATAGAAAGATCAAGGTCGGCAAGCGAAGATAATCTAGTAGCAAGGCTCGTCTTAACTCGATCTACTCGGCCCCGCTGCATCTGAATCTCGAGCTCAGTAAAAATCTGAGTCTCGCGTGATGACTGTAAGCGGGTGTCCAGCTCGGCAGCAATAAATGAGGAGGCACCTGCATCTCGGAGCTCACGAAACATCTGAAGCTCATGCTCTAGGCAATCAAGGTCATCAACTATAGCCTGTGCCAAATCTGGATGTCCCGCTTCCCTTATCAAATTGACTTTAGAATCAAGGAAAGGCTTGAATTGGCGAAGAGAAAGTCCACCATGGAAAAGCTTGCCAATCATAGCATTCATGAAAGAGAAGAAGGAGCGGACTTCTATGCAGATGACAATCTTCTCAGGATCATCATCAGATAACAACTCCCTCGCCAGAATATGAAGACGAGAAGAATTCCCTGCACATAAAGATAAAACCGTCAGAAAAAGACCTTGAAGAGTAAATAAATAGTATTCATACCCTCTTGAGTCACTGGGGGTGGTGGAGGTGTAACGGCTGGGGGTGTATCAACTGGTGTAGTTGGTCCCATAGCCGGCTCAACAGGGTCATTCTCAACAAAAACTCCTGTTAAATACAAGTCAGAATTCTCAGAGGCATCACATTATAGCTGCATTAGTCAAAATTGGCTAGTCCTATAATTAATTTGGGAGGAGGCATATACCTTCGAAAGAATCATCCTCAAGATTCTTATCGAACGTAGGCTCGGAAAATATATCTCCGGGTAACTGGCCATCAAATTGAGGAGAGCTATACATGAAGTGGAGTGTAGGAGTCTCCGCGATCAAGCCTTCCTCGTCAAAATCATCAATAGAGAAATCTGACGTAAAAGAATATAAGTACCAAAGAAGAATAAAGAGACTACAACCAACAAAAATGAGTTACCCCTTATGGATGCGTTAGCCTCTTTATTCCCAAAATCCACGTATGCCTCCTGCAAGTTATCTGAAGAAGCAAGATGTACAGAGATGATTAGAGGATGCACAAATTCTTTTGTATACCATCTAAAAGATACATTGTCAATAGTAGATGTACCTGGATCTGCGGAATCAGGTCCTACATTGCTATCCTCCCTAATGTCGGCAACCCCTGTAGGCCTTTTAAACTGGGGCAGCGGGTCAGGCTCACCAGGAGACACAGGAACGGAATCGGGACTCATTTCGCTCTCTCCACGCTCTCCTATATAGAGATGGAAAAGCATGAGTCAATGTTCCGAATAACCAAGAAGGTGGTTTACAGAGTAGATGTTACCTCCGTCACTAGCAAGATCATCACCAGCCAAGTCCATATCAAATGCTCGGGAAGCTGCACGCGGCTTGTGGGCTAATCTCTTCCGCCTAGCAGCAGGGACAATAATCGAAGGTCTCGCCTGGGGAGGGGGACGGAACTCTTCATCCTGGTCAACTGTGGTCCCTGAAACATCAAACCATAGTCAGTTTCAATATTTCTAGAAGATGGAAGGAAAAGATGAATAGCAAACCTCGCTCAGAAAAGTCTTCATAACCTTCAGGATCTCCGCCTGAAGCCTCGTCTGCGGAATGAAAGGTCTTCTTTCCCTCTTCATCAATCCGACGAGTCTTGTTCCGTGTCCTCTGTGATCGGGCATTTTCCCAAATCCTACGGGAATCAACCTGAGAAGCTTCCTCGGCCTCTAGCTCTGCAATCGGCTTCACGGGGATGGTCTTGTTGGCTGCTAACAACCACTTGCAGCTTAAGAAAGTAAGGTTCAACTGCCGATCAGCACTCGGGAGACTGAATTTAGCACCAGTACAGCCAGTCACGGTCCACAACCACGCACGGAGACCATCTACCAAACCACCGTGGGCACGAAGCTGCTGACGAGGATTCCCGACGTAAAGCTGATCGTAGCCAAACTGACGAGCGAATCGACAGGGTAGATATGGCTCTATGAAGCACTGATCCCTCACCCGAAAAGTCAAATAACCTGGCCTAATGTTTACCAGCCAGTTAAAGCACCCGATGTCCAAGTGAGTTCGATACTCTCTCGGCCTCTCCTCATCTGTCAAACTATCGCCGTATCGGCCGGAGAACTGCGGAAAGCAAGTGGAAAATGTCCAACACTTGTGGACCTGCAGCTGCTGCCTGACGTCATAAAATCCGCGCCCCTCCCACTTGCCGTTCTCAAGCAATTGTAGTAAAGGAACGGATTAATCTGTGGCGCTCGGTACCGACATCATATCGGGACGGTGAAGGACAAACCAAGCCATCATGTAAGTGTACGGGAGCTCTATCTTAAGGGTGGGAATCTGAGTCGGCGATTCCTTTTCCTTCCGTGTAAAGGCACCAGAAAGCTGTCGAAGTCCTCGGTGAATGTTAGCCACCATCACCGGAAGAAGTGAGAGTTCTTTCTTGTAGGCAAGCTGAACTGCTGGATAGAGTACTTCCAAGGGCAGAGCGTCACAAGACTGGTACGAGACCACGCATTTCTTTAACCAAATAGCGAGGAAACCGGCAAGAAGGGTCATGGGTCGAATCGGTGCGGTAGCATGCCACAAGAATGATTTGAACTTGGTCCCTGCAGGAAAACCACCCTCAGAACTGCTAGTGGTATAAGAATGAGCGTCAATCTTCTTCATCAGAATGTTCACCCCTGAGGGAGTAAGTGGGGCCAACTCACAAATAGCCTCGCCAGAATTACTCTCCAGATTCTTGAACAAATAATTGGCAAACTGCTTCAGACTCACGAATGTCTTAGTCCTCTTTGCTAAAGGCTCAGACTGCGCCAAAGCTATATGATAGTGACAAGTGAGATCCCATAGAGTCTCGTAGCGATCGGGCATACGATCCTTCAGCAGACTTAATTCATGGTTGGAGGGAAAGTATTCCTGATACAACATCTGTCCCATGGGTAAGCCAGAAATCCTGTGCATCTCGTGAAGAGCCAAGCCCAATTCCCCTTGCCGGGTCAGAAAAGTGTTCGAATCTGAATTATAAAGCTCAAACAAAGCATAGAAATGCCTTGCGCTGACAGGCAAGCCATACATGGTGGCACGAACGGCTGCATATAAACCACAAGCGTGCAACTCCTCGCCCCATCGGAACCCCAGTACTCCAGGACGCAATCCGGTGATGTGACTTCTACTCGAGCCAGGAAATGCCTGATGAGTAATATAGCCGCAATGGACGCTCTCATGCTCCTCCGTCAAGCGCCACGACATCTCCCGTGTCACGGCCTGACGCCTGAGCTCAGTCAATGAACGATGCCGAGGAATCTTCGGCAAATATATGAAGCCACTGCTAGTTTTATGAAGCCACTGCTCAGCCTCAATAAACACGGCATCCGGGTCTTCGACAGAGTCGCCAAATAAGAAATCGCTCTTCTGAAGAGGCTGAATAGAACTAGCGTCCTTCACAAGAGGTGCATCGGTAATCAACTGTCGAAGAGCTCGGTGCCCACCTTCCTTCACCGCCTGGACAACCTCAGTCGATGTGCCCAAAACGAACTGAGGAGTGACTGGGATAGGGGAAACATCGTCGGAGGTCGAATAATACTCGCCACGACGCCCGTATACTGCGTGAGATGAGAACGCTCCAGAAGGGTAGTCAACTGATGAGGAGTGACTGGGATAGGGGAAACATCGTCGGAGGTCGAATAATACTCGCCACGACGCCCGTATACTGCGTGAGATGAGAACGCTCCAGAAGGGTATTCAACTGAGAACAAGCAATTAAACGTTTGTTAATTCCAGTTATAAAAGGAAATTGAACTCATCTTACGAAGGGGTAAGATAGAGTCATTGCCTTATAAAGGGTGTGACGTTTTGGCCACGTTGCGCCTTCATAAGATAGGGTATATCGACAATATATCCCTGCCTTATAAGGCACAACGCAGCGACAAAACGCCCCCTTTATTTATTATGAGATAGTGTTTTGACCAAGCAAAACATATCTTTGAAGCGTCGATCCTCACCAAGGAGAATCAAGGCTTTTCCCGGTTGCCTCACCAAGGAGAACAACAGGGAGTAAAAAAGAAAAAGGACCAATTTGCAACTTTCCAAGAAAAAATGGACTAATTTGTAAATTTTCAGAAAAAAGTGGCTCACCGGCATAAGAGGAAGGCGCGCCATCAGTCGGCACGGTAGAGGATTGACCCCTCGCCATACGGGACATAGAAACCTGCAAGGTAAATTGAAGGATCAGATCTAGAAAAGGAAAAATCCCATTTTTACCCCAAAAAAGGCAAGTTTGAGGCATCAAATCACACCCACAACCCTTATATGTGATCTCGCGACTCCATATACTAGATCAAACATGAAATAAATCAAGATGGCGGAGGATTTACCTGAAGAAAAGCCCAAAATCCAATAAAGGTGAGACCTTTAAGGAAACTTGAACCACACGCTCGAGGGGCCTGAGAGAAACTTTTTATTTGGAGATTTTGGGAGATTCCTCAGTCCAAGATTCAAAGGAAAGCCAGATCTAAGACAAATATCAAGGTTTGAAAGAGAATGGATGCTCGAGGGAAGAGAAATCAAGAGAAGAGAGGGAGGGGTTCGGCCGGCCCTAGGGAGAAAAGAAAAGAAAAAGAAAAAGAAAAAAAGAAAAAAACCCCTTTTATAGCCTTGAACCAGATCTGGCCGAACCAGACCAGACCAGGGCTGAACCAGACCAAGCCAGATTGGACCAGAATGAGCCAGGTTGAGCCAGATTGAGCCAGAATGAGCCAAATTGAGCCAGATTGAGCCTGGCTGGACCAGACCAGACCAGAATGAGCCAAATTGAGCCAGATTGAACCAGAATGAGCCAGTTTGAGCCAAATTGAAGCAGTTTGAACCAAATTTGAACCAGAATTTAAATTGGAGCTGAATTAAGCATTGGAACGACTTTTGATCAACCTACGGTTCTGTCCTTCACCTATTTAACCCCTCTACCATATATTTGGAAGGGTCGGAGAGATTTTTGAACCCAAATACTGCTTTTTGGCACATTTTTTGGGCCGGTTCAGATTATTCGAACCTAAAGAATACTCCAATAAGGTATACGAATATAAACTATTCCCTCCTCTTTGTTGAGAAGTTTCTCGAGAATATTTTTCTAAAAAATATTCTTAAGGATAACTTAACATAACTCCCAGGAGTGTATGAGTATAAACTAGACCTCCCCGCTCCAACTCCTTAAGAGCTTAAACTGTGTAGACTCCAAAATACTTACGAGTATAAACTGTGTTAAACGCCGGACAACGCGTCACAATGAAGATTCAAAGCCGTCAACCGATGGTCAATTTCATGTTGAAGCAACCAACACGAGTTAAAGATTGAAAAAATCAGGAATCGACTTCAAAGTTCAAATTCCAACAACGGTCAGACAATAAATGCAGCACCGGAACCCTCTCAAGCATTCGACAAAGCACCGAATAGCCTGGAGGATTGAAGGAATCGAGAATAGAAGCTATTCCAAGAGCCCGTTACACCGATTGAAGGTTGGGACAGTCATATCCAAAGTATTCCAGACTCCTCTATAAAAGAACGAGACTGGAAAACTTTGGAGGGGGTATCTGTAGGCATATAAAATTGCTTATAGGTCCCTTGACACGGTTCAACACGAACTAATGAACCATCAGGCGACGTATCTAAGCACGAACGTCAGTCCACAACACCGAAGCCAAGTGACACGCAACGAAGCGGATTAACAAGGCTACGAAGCTGACGAACCGCACGTGAACGACACGACGGAACCCAACACCAAGGGGGGGCTCGGCCTGAGCCGAGCCACCTCTGGGTGGCTCGGCCAAAGCCGAGCCACCCTGAGGTGGCCGGCCAGATCTGTGCCAAATGCACAGATCTGGTTGCCTATAAATAGGCGGGGTCATTCATCATTTTGGAGGACTTTTGGAAGAACTTTTGGAGAGCCGAAACTCTGCCGGATTGAGACCTCATCTTGGAGTTTTTGAAGGCTTGAAGACTTGGACGTTCGGATCTGATTCTCGGCGAGCACCCGCATCACAAAAAAGGTAGGAGTTTGAGGGGATCAAGATCTCAGATCTACGTTGTTACACTCCAGATCAAAGCTTGGTCTTTGATCCCGAGATTCGAGCGATTATTTCCTTGGTGAAATAATCCCTCCGGCTATTATTTCCTTGGTGAAATAATACCCGTTATACTGCGTAGATCTGTCCGGATCTAGATCGCGCGGTGGTCCACGGCAAACAACCCCGGCGC